AAGTATCCATGCAGACATTTCAGTAAATAATAGCATTTATGAGGGTATACTTATTTCATCACAGTGCATGAAGAATTCTTGTTTGCTAAAAGATCAACAGATTATTGCAATTTTAGCTTAGCAATAAGGAGAGAATATTCATTCACTTTTTAGGATATGCATCAGTTCAATCAACCTCTTGAGGTTTACTTAGTAAATGTGTTTGTCTACTATACCTATGTTGTAAAAGTTAATATATTTCTAAAATTTTTTTTATAAAGGCAATTCTATTTTTTTAATTTTTTTTTATTTGAGGAAATTATGGGGGTACAAACATTTTGGTTATATGTTATGACTTTGCCACATCCCCACCATGATTTGAGACATGCCCTTCCCCCGCACAACTCTCACCACGTCCATTAGTTGTAAGTTTACTCACCCCTCATCCCCCCTACCCCCAAAGAATATTACTACTGCGTGAGCACCTTAGTGTTGATCAGTCAGTGCCAGTTTGATGGCGAGTACATGTGGTGCCTATTCTTCCATTCTTGTGATACCTCACTTCAGAGGGTGGGCTCAAGCTCTATCCAGGAAAATATGAGGTGCTAGATCACCATCTTTTTTTATAATTGAGTAGTATTCCATTGTACTCTTGTTTTATTATTCAACTGATATTTAATACCTACTTAAGTCTAATAATGTTCCTGAATTAATGGAGCTTATAGTAAAGTTGAAGGATGCTTTGTCTGCAGCTCTTGATAAAGTAATTTTGAAGTTACATTTCTTTGCTCTTGCTCTGGGCTATCATATATTTTGCCCCAAGTAATATGAATTAATTTTAACTTAGAGCAAAGGGAATGAGAGTCTCTGTGTATGTTACTTTCTGCTGATTTGGGAAGCCAAATGAAAAAGAGGTTATGGTATTGACTACTTTAATTGTGACTTCTATCTTTGTATTTAACTTGGTGCAAGTAAAAAGGTGTGAACCATACCCTCTGTGCTCTTTCACTCATCCCACTACCCTGACTTGTTTCTTTAATTTTTTTTTAATTTTAAAGAATTTATAAACAATAGAAAATTTATTTGGCTCGTGGTTCTCGAGGCTGGGAAGTCCAAGATCAGATCAAGTGACCATGTCTGGTGAGGGTCTTGTTGCTGCATCATCCCGTTGTAGAAAGCATCACATGGCGAGAGAGAGCACACAAGAGAGCAAGAGGGGGCCAGACTCCCTTTTATAACAAGTCCACTCTTGTGATAACTAACCCACTCCCATTTTTATATTTTTGATGTTTTTACTTTTAATTATTATGGATACATATTGTACATATTTATGGAGCACATGTGATGTTTGGATACAAGCATACAATGTGTAATAATCAAATCAGAGCAATTGAGATATCCATCACCTCAACAATTTATCACTTCTTTGGGTTAGGAACATTCCGACCCCTGTTCTATTATAGGGTGTTGAGACTAGATCTATAACAAAAGTGGACTGCCTCTTCTTTACCCATACAAAATGTGTTTAAGTATGTGGTAAATCTAAAACAAGTTTTTTCATTGTCAACCCTATAAGCAATGTGACACTTCCTGTGCAACTCTGTCCTTCTCATAACTAGGAAGATTATGGGAGTATAAAATACCTATAGCTGACTTGCTGATTAGCCCTCACCTGCCCAACTAGTTAGTGAGTAGTGGCTCTCAACTTTGGCTGTGCATTGGATCACCTGGGAAGCTTTAAAAAAGCTTACTAAGGGAACCAGGGAAAACATGATGATGCCCAGAACTGTAAGAGGTGATGAGAAAAGGAAAGATAGGGGAATAAAAACAGTAGAAGTTTGTGTTTTACTACAATATGACTTTACAATACAGTTTTGCTTTAGCTGTACCTTGTTATTTATTAGGTCCTTTGTAGTCTCTACTTGTATTATTTACATAAGCCAATTATATACATCCGTGCTCTCCAACCCCTGGGACACAGACCAGTACTGGTTTATGGCCTGTTAGAAACTGGGCCACACAGCAAGAAGTTAGTGGCAGGCGAGTGAGCAAAGTTTCATCTGTATTTACAGCTGCTCCCCATTGCTCACATCACTGCATAAGCTCCATCTCCTGTCAGATCAGCAGTGGCATTGGATTCTCATAGGAGCATGAACCCTATTGTAAACTGTGCATGTGAGGGATCTAGGTTGCATGCTCCTTATGAGAATCTAATGCCTGATGATCTGAGGTGGAGCTGAGGTGGTGATGCTATCACTGGGGAGCAGCTGCAAATACAGAATATCATTAGCAGAGAGATGAGGTTTGACTGCACAATAATTACAATGCACTTGAATCATAGCAAAACCATCCCCTGCCCCCAGTCTGTGGAAAAATTATCTTCCATGAAACTTGTCCCTGGTGCCAAAAAGGTTAGGTACCACTGATAAATATATATATTTGATATCCTCTTTAGCTTCTCAATCTTGAGCACGTATGTTTTTATAAATACATTTTGATTAGGAAAAAGCATTATATCTCTAATCTTAAGTTAGTTATAGACTCATTATTCATGTCTGACAATTGTCAAAGCCAAACATTAATATTTTTAGCCTTTTACAGATGAACAATCCATGCTGGTGGTTATATAGTCCCTGGTGTTAAGGCATTAATAATGTTTCTATTTTGTTCCTATGCCTAGAGGCTTTAGCAGTGGGCTTGTTTTTCTAAATGACAAAAGGGCCTCA